GAAAGGGAAGGAAAACTGCCAAACACATTTTATGAAGCCAGTATTACACTTATCCCAAAACCAGGCAAAGACACCTCCAAAAAGGAGAACTATAGGCCAATCTCCTTAATGAACATTGATGCAAAAATCCTCAACAAAATAATGGCAAACCGAATTCAACAACACATCAAAAGATTATTCACCACGACCAAGTAGGCTTCATCCAGGGATGCAGGGGTGGTTCAACATAAAAATCAATAAATGTAATAAACCACATTAACAGAAGCAAAGACAAAAAACCACTTGATCATCTCAATAGATGCAGAAAAAGCCTTTGATAAGATCCAACACCATTTCATGATAAAAGCTCTAAGAAAACTAGGAATAGAAGGAAAGTTCCTCAACATATAAAAGCTATATATGACAAACCTACAGCCAGCATTATACTTAACGGAAAAAAACTGAAACCATTCCCTCTAAAATCAGGAACCAGACAAGGATGCCCACTATCTCCACTCCTATTCAACATAGTACTGGAATTCCTAGCCAGAGCAATTAGCAAGAAGAAGGAATAAAAGGAATACAAATAGGTAAAGAAACTGTCAAATATCCCTATTTGCAGATGACATGATCCTATACCTTAAAGACCCAAAAAACTCTACTCAGAAGCTTCTAGACATCATCATAGCTAGCAGCAAGTAGCAGGATATAAATCAACATAGAAAAATCATTACATTTCTATAACTAACAATGACAGAACGGGAAAAAGAATGTATGAAAACAATCCATTACAATACCTCAAAAAACAATCAAATAGCCTAGGTGTAAACTAAACGAAAAGATGTGAAAAAGACCTCTACAAGGAAAACATATACACTTCTGAAGAAAGAGATTGAGGAAGACTATAGAAAGTGGAGAGATCTCCCATGCTCATGGATTGGTAAATCAACATAGTAAAAATGTCATACTCCCAAAGTAATCTACATGTTTTAATGCAATTCCCTCAAAATTCCAATGACATTCATTAAAGAGATTGAAAAATCTTACTGTTAAATTTATATGGAAACACAAGAGCCACGAATAGCCAAGGCAATACTCAGTCAAAAGAACAATGCAGGAGGTATCACAGATACCTGACTTCAAACTATATTACAAAGCAATAAAATAAAAAAACAGCATGGTACTGGCACAAAAACAGACATGAAGACCAGTGGAACAGAATAGAGGACCCAGATATGAAGCCACACAACTATAACAACAACTTGTCTTTGACAAAGGTGCTAAAAATATACGATGGAGAAAATAGCAGCCTCTTCAACAAAAACTGCTGGGAAACTGGTTAGCAGTCTGCAAAAAACTGAAACTAGATCCATGTATACTCACCCTACCTAACCAAGAGTATTAACTCAAAATGGATCAAGGATCTTAAATATCAGACCCCAAACTCAAAGTTGATACAAGAAAAGAGTAGGAAATACTCTGGAATTAGTAGGTTAGGTAAGAACTTTCTCAATGAAACCCCAGCAGCACAGCAACTAAGAGTACATAGAATAAATGGGACCTCATAAAAATAAAAAGCTTCTGCATCAAAAGAAATGGTCTCTAAACTGAAGAGAACACCCACAGAGTGGGAGAAAATATTTGCCAGCTATACACATCAAGACAAAGGACTGATAACCAGAAATATAGGGAACTTAAAAAACTAAATTCTTCCAAAACTTAATGAACAATAAGAAATGGGCCAAGTGAACTAAACAGAAACTTTCTCAAAAAGAAGAAATTCAAATGGCCAAACAAACAATGAAAAAATGCTCACCATCTCTAGCAAATAAAGGAAATGCAAATTAAACCACACTAAGATTCCACCTCACCACCTGTTAGAAATAGCCATCATCAGCAACACCAACACACACACCAGGTGTGGCGAGGATGCGGGGAAAAAGGAACCCTCTTACACTGTTGGTGGGAATGTAAACTAGTACAACCACTCTGAAAAAATTGGAGGCTACTTAAAAACAGCTAAACATTGATCTACCATTTGATCCAACAAATACCACTCTTGGGGATAATACCAAAAGACTGTGACACAGTACTCCAGAGGCACCTGCACACCCATGTTTATTGCAGGCACTATTCACAATAGCCAAGTTATGGAAACAGCCAAGATGCCCAGCACTGACAATGGATTTAAGAAAAAGTGTGTATCTATACCACATGGAATTTATGCAGCCATGAAGAAGAAACGAAATGTTATCATTCGCTGGTAAATGGATGGAATTGGAGAACATCATTCTGAGTGAGGTTAGCCTGGCCAAAAGACCAAAAATCCGTATGTTCTCCCTCATATGTGACATAGATCAAGGGCAAAACAACAAGGGATTGGACTTTGAGCACATGATAAAAGCAAGAACACACAAGGGAGGGGTGAGGATAGGTAAGACACCTAAAAACTAGCTAGCATTTGTTGCCCTTAACGCAGAGAAACTAAAGCAGATACCTTAAAGCAACTGAGGGCCAATAGGAAAAGGGGACCAGGAACTAGAGAAAAGAATTAGAAAAAAAGCTTAACCTAGAAGGTAACACCCATGCACAGGAAATTAATGTGAGTCAACTCCCTGTATAGCTATCCTTATCTCACACCAGCAAAAACCCTTGTTCCTTCCTATTATTGCTTATATCTCTCTTCAACAAAATTAGAGATAAGGGCAAAATAGTTTCTGCTGGGTATTGAGTGTGGGTGAGGAGGGAGATGGAGGGGCATAGGTGGAGGTGTAATAAGGAGGAGGAGCGGGGGCGGGGGGAGAAATGACCCAAGCATTGTATGCACATATGAATAATAAAACAATAAAAAAAAGATCAGATAAAGCAGACCACAAATAAAGAAAAAAAAACCCAACAAATTGAAATCATCCTTGATTCTCCAACGCTGTTAATACTGTTTTACCTTGTTTGTAAAAGAAAACTTTTTTCTGGTGGTACTGGGATTTGAACTCAGGGCTTTGTACTTAAAAGGAGGGTGCTCTACTACTGGAGTCACACCTCCAGCCCTTTCTTCCCTTGTTGGAAATAGGGAAGATAGACTTACTTTTTGCCCAGCGGACCTGGGCTCCCGGCTGTCACTTGGATGACAGGTGCACCATGACACCTAGTTTTTCTCTGTTGAACTGGAGTCGCACAAACTTTTTTTCACAAATTGGCCTAGAACCACAATCCTCCCAATCTCAGCCTCCCAAATAGCTAGGATTGCAGGTGTGAGCCACTGGTGCCCCGTGAAAACACACTTTTAATGGAATATTTGGAAAACAAATTTTTAATGGGATATTTGGAATAGCAAATATTCCAGAAGAAAGTTGTACTGTAATAGATGTAATCTGATACTAAAGCCCTGTCATAAGTCCTATCGTTATGTGCTGAAGTTGCTTCAAGTTTCCTCATTATTGAGCCGTGACGATGTCCAGGCACAAATCTTTGTGTCTCTCCGATCATCTCAGTAAGCTGCATTGCTGGAAGAAATTATCAGGGGAGGAGAACAGATACTTTCAAGATGCTTGATTCACACTGCCAAGTTCATGGTCAGAAAATTATACTCCTGGGGAAGAAATAAAAGTTTTCTTCAATCTCTATGGATTCTTAGCTGAGATATAGCACTCCACAACAAAGGACAGACTCACAAGGAAAAAATAAAGCAAGTTTACTAATGTGCACAGGTGTGTACATAAGGCAGAGGAACCCCAGCGGAAAGGAGCTGGGAGTGTGACTTAAAACTCTCCAGTAGAGGAAAGCCACTGCAGGCCCTGGGCATGGCAAGAAAACTACGTGGGAAGAAGCTAACAAGGAGACTTTGTGACATCGCTTGGTGCTGGCTCTGGGCTGAGGAGAGTCTCGAGCCATCTCCACAAAGGAGAACTTAGACCCTGTCTTTAGGCAGAAAGCAGGACGACAGGGGGATCCTTTCCTCCCCTTGCTGCTTCTTGAATGTCTTTAGCTCAGAAATGCCAAAGAGGCATATTTCGGGGTGACATACTCTGGTGTTCTTCAATGTCAATAGTACATGAGGGTGTCTATATTCTTGTAAAACATGAAATTTTCTATTTTAAAAGTTCAAAATTCCTTGAGAAAAATTCCCATGGACTGATTTTTTTTTTCTTTCTTTTTTTCCCCCCTTTTTTTGAGATAGGATTTCATTATGTAACTTTGATCTTGTCTTAGCCTCCCAAGTGCTAGGATTACAGGTGTGTGTGACCACACCCAGCTGGACCTGATGTTTACTATTTCAATATCAATTTGATAAGGAAGCATTCATTGCCTCTTGCTATGCATGTTTGCTTTTGTTAACTCTTGCTATTGAACATTTTCTCAAGATTTCTTGATCAGTTATATTTCTTTCATAAAATGTCTTCTTGTGATTTTTCTCCTTTTTTTCAGATACTTGCAAATTTTTTTTGATAGTACTGGGGTTTGAACTCAGGGCCTTGTGCTTGCTAGACGGGCGCTCTACCACTTGAGCCATGCCCCCAGCCCTAGATACTCTTGTGTATGTGATACTTTATGTGCTTTAAGACAGACAATTCTGCTAATGGTTTTCTTTGAGCTTTCTCTCTTTGTCTTTACGATTAGAGAGAACTTCTCCATCAGAACTCAAACAAGAAAGAAGGAGACGTTTTGTGATCAGAAGACAGAATTTATGTCTTGCTGTTTAATTGAGCAGGTATGAGACCTTTGGCTTACTTTCAAAGCTATATGAAGTCCACCAGTGTGCAGCTGCCTGTGTTTGTACTTGAACAATCGCACGTTCTAAATTGTTTTAACTATGCGCAGCCCTCACCTCCATACCTGCACTGCAGTAGACTGGACATGGGGACAGATCCTTGGGAAAAGAGGAGACACCAAGCAAGCAAGCCCAGAATGAAGGAATGCACTACAGAAAAGGGGACCTTCGCATTTTCTATCTGGGGGGTGCCAGGGGACGTCCCATCAAGAGAAGCAATAGTGACATTATCACAAAAGAGATTCCAACCTACCTTCCAGCGACCATATCTGTCCGCCAAGAGGCCAAAGAGGATGCTGGATACCATATAGCCAAAAAACACCATCTAGAGGCAGATGAGGAAAACAATGCTTTAAGCAGGGTTTTTATAAGGTGTTCATTTACTGCGTTAGGCTAAAATTTGACAGGAAATGCATGAGGAGTAGAAGTTAAAACCTCTCTCCCCTGACTCCAGCAAATGTGTTCAGGGCTCCAGAGGACAGTGCTTATACTACTTGTTGGCTGACCACACACCTTGGGGACCCTGGCCCTAGTGGAAACGGATCCACAGATAATGGTCCCACTGAACTCAGACTGTAACTGTGAATTCCCATTGTAATTAAAAAGAAGTCTTAAACCAGATGTGGTGATCCAGGCACACCTGTAATCCCAGCACTCCAGAGGCTGAGGCAGGAGGATCAAGAGTTTGAGGTCAGCCTGGGTTACATATCAAGAACCTGCGTCAAAAACCAAAATGAAAAAACGAAGAAATTTTTATTCAGTCCTCCTCCACCTTAATTCCAACACAAGTGACAGCCATTAAAAGCAGTCTTCCCTTATGTTATGTTAGTAAGCATGAACTGCAAATAAACAGCAGAAACATTCATCTATTTAAAAAAAAAAGAAAATCCTCAAAATAAATATAATCCTAAGATGAACTTACTTCTTTTCCTTTCTTGTTTAGCATCTCCACTCAGCCTAAGTCGTAAGCCTGACATCTGGGCTGTTAGGTTACTACCTTTCTGAGTCTACACTGCTCAGATTCCCTCAAAGGCCCCCACAGAGGCCCCCAGGACAAGTGTTCCCAGCACTTGTCTCTGCAGCCTGCTCTTTCTCCTTCCTACTCCTCACAGGAAGACTCAATGCATTTACCTGAGAGAAGAACTCAGAACAGCTCCTCACCTCAGGTAACGGGGAGTTTTTCCTGGCACTCAACTCAGATTAAAATTCACAGCAAATTTTGGTTAGGTTGCGAATGGAAGTCAGGTCATGCTGTCCCCAGCAGCCTTCTGCCAAGGGGATTCTCCCCTTACCCCTTCCTCATAAGCCAGTATGTGTGGGTGTGTTGTGGGGGGAGTCTTCTGGAATTTTCCACTGCCAGTTTCAGACCCTAACCCTCACTGTCTTACAGAACCTTATCCTCAAGACTTCTGCCGTCTGACTGCCACCTAGTCACCATCTTCCTAATTCCCAGATGGTTCTTCTCTCATTGAGGGTTTGGCCACATTTGTTTCTAGAATTTCTTCCTTTAAGTCCTGCCTTCAATAAAATCAGCTTTGATGCCCAAGTGAGTCAACCTTTCTCTCCTCACCTTACATTTCTTTTATCATCTTGGCTGATGTTAGCTCCTAAATAATTCCAGAACACAGTCTCACCTCTGTGCACTACTGTCAAACACCACTACCGCTATATGGCACCCGCCCTCCAGCCATATCTTCTGAGGTCGTGGAAGATCCATGAGGGCTGTCTTTAAAGCCCTTCAACGAGGACTGAGGTATAGCCCAGTGATAGAGCACATGCTAGCATGTGTGAGACCCTGGGTTCCATGCCAGCAACACACACACACGCACGTTAATAAATAAACAAAGCCCTTTAATGGCTGCCACCATCCACAGCATGGCTTCCAACATTCTCTGGTATCTGAAGCCTGTTTAAGATTCACAAAAAGGTTTAGCTGACCTCTTTGATTAAAAAAAAAAAGTGTAGCGTCTACATTTAATGAGAAATATAAAGTGACTACAAAGTCAATAGTACTTTTATATAAAGTTGATTTTGTTACATGAAATGGTCATTTGAAAGCTGTTACACATATTTTTTGTCAAATATTTTTTGCTTGGAGGACTGACACACTTTGGCCCAACACTGGGGAGCAGTGGCCAAATTGGGGATGGAGTCTCTGTACAGAATGGAGGTGTTGCTGGCAAACTGCCACCCGGGAAACCTCACCAACCACTGCTGCCTCCCCCCAGTTTAAGCAGATTGGGACATTGTGCAGTCTTCCCAACACGTGTGTACACACACCCAGTCTGCTGACAAATTAACAAGTACTTTTGGAAAGAATGATAGGTCATATCCTTAAATCTACTTTGTAGCAAAACTTGGTGTTCATACTGGTCTCTGGGGAAGGTTGAATAAGAATCAATACAGCGAGGGCGACAGTCACCTGACTTAACCCATGACTAGCCCATGATGCAAGGGTCACTTTCTCCGATTTACATGTGTCTTATCCGGGCTCTCACTGTAGCTGGAGTGGAGAGCAAGCAGCGAAAGGACTTAGCAGAGCTCTCTGGCATCCATTTGACAAGAAACATGTGACTATGAAGTCATTGGAGCGCTTACACAAAACTGATTTTTATTATATAAAATAGTAATTTGAAAACTATTATACATATTTGTGTCAAACGTTTTTTCTTGGAGGGTTTATTGCTTTGGCCCACTGTTGGGGACCAGTAGCAGGCACTCTGAGGAGACACAGTGGAGAGTAGGTGATTAATGGCAGTTTCTGGAAGTGAGACCCTGTGTTCTGGAATTGTTTAAGAGACAGTGTAGGCCATGGATGCTTGGCTGTTCACGGTTATCCACACTCGGGGAAGAGAGAGAGGCGAGAGAGGCACTGAATGTTAGTTTAGGCCGGAAAACCCACAAGTTTTGGAAAGCAGCAGTCCTAGTGTTGAGGTGTCTTTTGGCTCTCAGCCCTGTGGAGTAGAGGAAGGGGAGCCCATGCTCCCCACCGTATTCACAGCACAGGAGCAGGTACTCACTGTGGTCACTAATGCCACCTGCCAGTTCTCCAGTTGCCACTCACAGCGGATGACGGGAGACACAACAGCTATTAACATGATCTCCATGGCCTCAACAACCTTAAAGAGAAGTGAGAAAAAAATGACATGTCTATGTGCCAACTTGTTATCCCTTCCCCCCAGGTCTGCCTGTCCATCACCCTCTTGGTCCTAATCCCCTCTTCCCTCTTTCCCATTTAGGGAATACCTATTGATTACCACACAGCACTGCTATTTGGATAAAGTAGTATGGTAGAGCTGAGTGTGGTAGCACATGCCTGTAATCCCAGTACTTAGAAGTCTGAGGCAGGAGGATCACAACTTTTGGGCCAGTCTAGGCTGCATAGCAAGATCTGGTCTCAAAAAAAAAAAAGGAAAAGGAAGAAGAGAAGGAGGAGGAGGAAGAAGAGAAGGAGGAGGAGAAAGAAGAAGGAAGAAAGTAGAATAAGAAGAAGAGGGGGAGAAGGAAGGGGAAGGAGGAGGGAGAGGAAAAGGAAGGAGGAAGAGAAGGGGAGGAAGAAGAGGAGGAAGGGGAAGGAGAAGAAGAAGAAGAAGAGGAGGAGAAGGAAGAAGAAGAGGAATTAAGAAGGAGGAGGAGAAGAAGAAGCACAACAACTCTAGTAGAGCTTTGGCTTCTATGGATGAACCATTTATAGTTTGAACAACTTAAGAGGGTTGTCAAGGGTTTATGGCCTGTATTCACTTGTCATTTTGCATGGCAACACTTTGAGGGGGCCGTGTGGGGCCGGTCACCCAGTTAGTGGCTAAATCACCAGCACCCACATCAACCAACTTTGTTCTGTGCTCATCATGGTAAGGATTGTAGGTGAGGACTTCTGACTTTTGACATAGTCTCTGACCTTGGAAGCTGAGACCTCAAGAAAGAGGGAAGAGACACGGAGCTGGAAATCAGTAGGAACTAGGACAAGGTAACCTGATCTCTTCCTCAGGAAAGAACAGCTAGTTAGCAGATAAAAGATGGGCACTATCCTCCATTTCAGGGTAGCTTTATCTCCCAAGGAAGGGAAGTAGATGCTAAAAAAGAATTGAAAGGATGAGTAGAAATGGATGGTAGGAATTCAGTGCAGGATAATGAAAGATGGACCCAAGAGGGCTGGCAGGTTTTAGCTGTTTCAGGAATTAGAGGCAGTGTGACAATCTCAGAAGGATGTTTGATTTACTAAACTTACCTCCCTAGTTTTGTAAGCAGTGGAGTCAAGCTAATCAGGACACCACTCCTCTAAAGCGTCCCGGGAGAAAATGAACCAGGAAATAGTTCTGATATGATAGCCTTTGGGACAAGGAAGATGCCAGGGCCAAACTGGAGTTCACAGATGAGCTCTACCATATAGGAAAATCTTAGAAGGACTCACTCAAGAGCATAGAAACACTGGGTGTGGTGGCACACATCTGTAATCCCACCTACCGCAAGGCAGGAAGATCCTTAGTTTGAATCCAACCTGGGCAAAGTTAGCAAGACCCTGTCTCAAGAACAAAAATAAAACAAACAAAAGGGCTGGAGGTATGGCTCAAGTGCTAGAGCACTTGCCTAGCACAAGCGAGGCCCTGGGTTCAATCCCCAGGACAGGAAGGGGGTGGGAGCCTAAAGAAGACAGGACTTAGGAGTCCTGGTCATAGGCTGAGGTCACCCAGGTGCTATTATATACATCCCAGTCACGTGAGGCCCTGAAACTCAGCTAACTGCCTCAGCTGCTTTTACACAGGAACCGGGACAGGCCACAGTAGGACAGCCATGATCCATTGCTGTCAACCCAGCCTAAGACCAGGTGAGAGATTTCACTGCATTGTAGTAAGCAGTTGTGCTGTCCTTTGTGGGTGAGAGTTGTCATTGGGTGGCCTGGTGAGAGCCCTTCCTGGCAGGCAGCTGATAAAACACTTAATCAGAAGCCACTGAACCATCTCTGGAGGTGGAAGAGAGTTGACAGTAAAACCCTACAGGGTCACACCTTGTACATGGAACCATAAAATGAGATTCCACACTTGACTGATAAGGAGAAGTCCTAAATGGTTACCATAAAAAACAGGAGTGAAAACGCAGGAGCAGGACACACCCTGCCCTTTGCTTTTTATCTGAGACTGGATCCTGACAGTGCAGCTCTTTCGAGGGATGCATCAGAAGCTGTGGCTACCTCCATGTCACACATCCCACCACTCTTTTTTCTGACCTTTTTTTGAATAGGATTTTTTTTTATTGTTGTGCTGGGTGGGGATACATTGTGGTATTTACAAAAGTTCTTATAATATATTAAATATATCATACTTGAATTCACCCTCTCCACCATTCTCCTTTATCCCTCTCTCCTCCTGCTTTCTGACTCTTAACTGGATTAGCTGAGTGGGTGACCTCAAAGCTCAACTCTTCCACCTGACTCCATTGTTGTGCAAACCACCTGACTTAGTTTCCCTTCTGTCTCTCCTCACTGTCACAGGTGGCCCTCAGTATGGGGTTCTTAAAACATTCTCTTGCAGGGGAGGCCCTGGTGGTTGTGTGGTCTCACAAGTTCACCATTGTGAAGGCCCAGGGTTGAGCTGTTCTTCACAGCAGTGCTAAATGTCTCAGTCTTATTTGTGCTGCTACAACAGAACACCTGAGACTGGGTCATTTAAAAGAACAGAAAGTCACATGTCTGGGGGAGGCTAAGGAGGAAGAATTGCCTGAGCCTAGCCTGGGTGACAAAGTGAGATCTCCATATCCAAAACAAGAACAGAAATTTCTTTTCTCTGAGTTCTAGAGGCTGAGCAGTCTAAGGTCAAGGCACTGAGCTGCTCTGCTGCTAGGTGAGGCTGTACCCTCTTTATGGGCCTAAGTCCCACCCCCTCAGGACAGTCCCCTCCTAAAGGGGACCCTATCAATCGGCAGCACCTGGATTGTGGAGGAATACATTCAACCCAGAGCTACAACAACTGCCATCTAGGCCTCTCAGGGAACTGAGATCAGAACTGGCAACAGGACCCTGTGATTTCAGTGTGACACGTTCGAGAGCCATCTGTCTAACTCTGCGTAGGGCAGAGCCATGGGTTCCTCCCTTCTTCCCAGCACCTCTGTGTAACCGTTTTAGGATAAATTTTGAATTTCCAGAATGTAGAGACACAGAGGTTCATTTGTGCCTCAGCACTCAGCTGCCAAAGGATGGAGTGATGTGCAATGGCCCACCTAGGGGACAGCTCCCTCCCTCACACTCCCACCCGAGGAATGGTTCTGCGTGTCCCACGCGGAGGCTGGCCTTGGAGGCTTGAAGGCTCCCTAAGAACACTCACCCCCGTGCTACCCATGATGAGAAACAGGGCGATATGGAAGCGTCCAAAACCAATGGTCTCCACCGCATCTTCCACCGTGAACGTCCTTGTCTCTAAGGGAAGGCGGAGAGAGAGACTCAGCACAGGTGGGAAGGGGCCCTGAGGATTACCTCTTGCTTTTGGAAAACCAATTCATTATTACACAAAAGCTATAATAAATGATATTCCCCTGTATGTCCAGTTCCCCTAGTTATTACAGGGGGAAATGAAGCAGCAGCTTGGAAGCTGGAGGCATCTATGAGGACTGTACATTTTGTTGGTGGCACTAGGGTTTGAACTCAGAGCCTCAGCTTGCTAGGCAGGCACTCTACCACTGAGCTACACCCCTAGCCCTTCTTGCTTTAGTTGTTTTTTGGGTACAGTCTCGTGCTTTTGCCCGAGATCTGCCTGGGACTGCAATGACCTTACCTTTCTGCTGTGACTCTGGGGCCGCCAGGCTCAGCTTCCGAAGGCTGATGACAGTGACCTGCTCTGTCTGCTTGGCTGCCATCTGAACGGTTCCAGTTCCCCACACAGCTTCCCTGATGAAGCGGGGGAGGGAAGAAGGAAGGAAAATGTAATAGATTTTGAGTGCGTGTTACATGCCGGGCACGCTGCCTGGGAAGTTGCAATGGGCCCTTGCCAAAGTCTTAGGAGACAAGTGTTTCCACACTCTCTCAGCCATTTCCTCTGGAACCAGCCTGCTTGGTGTTTAAAACTCTCCCTACTGCTTACTAAGCGTGTGGCTTCGAGGAACTTTCTTCATACGCCTCAGTTTTCTCACCTCTAATATGGGGATAATGTAATAATTGCATATAACTTTTAGGCGGTTGTGAAGATAAAATGAGTTAGTTCTATGAAGTACTTAGCCTGTACCTGCCATGTTCTGAAGTACTCAAGAAATGGAGCCAGTAACTCCCATCGTCACTAGTTATTAAAGATACATTCAGTACCATCGAAAAGAATAATGACCGTGAAGAAGTGAAATACATCAAAGACGTGAAAATGCATTTGTTCAGAGTAATACTAAACTGAAGGCTTTATCGGTCATCATGAGAATGGTAATAAATTCATTATTCTGAAAACTCGGACTTACTTTGACTTTCTTGTATACATTGTACATCAATATAACTAAACAGTTAATGAAAAAACTATTCTTGAACTTCAGCTAATTCTTGCAGAAAGGATGGAATTAACTTACCACTGTCTTCAACTCCTAACAAGAGAATGGATCTGGGTGTGATCATTAATGGTGATGAACTTACTACAGGGTGGATGGAAGTGATGACACCTGGCCCACTGGAGATCCGAATGGCACTGAACTTGAGACAGCAGATGCTAGACTGTGGCTTCTGCTGACGCACAATACAAAGAAAGTATCCAACAGCATCAATGTTGCACTTGATGCATTTGCATAGAAGGAAATTGAGCCTAAATTCTGTCAAGCCACTAGTCTATCTACCAATGCATGCAGGGGATGAAGTAACATGGTAAGCTACATCATGGGGCTGCAATAAGAAAGATCTAGAATGCAGGAAGTTCCACAGACTAAATGAGCTGTCTCTTCAATAAATAAACAATAGGACTAAAAGGAGAAAAGGGAACTTTCAGACTGAAATAAGAGACACGTCAGTCAAACACTTGGGTGAACCCTTATACACTGCTGGTGGACACACAAATTAGCACAAACCACTATGGAGAGCAGTATGGCGGTTCCTCAAAAACTAAAGATAGAACTGCTATATGATCCAGTGATACCACTCCTGGGCCTCTCCCAAAGGAATGTAAGACAGGATACAATAGACACCTGTACACTGATGTTCATCACAGCTCTATTCACAATAACCAAGCTTTGGAAACAACACAGGTGCCCTACAACTGATGAATGGATTGTGAAAGTGTGGTATATATACACAATGGAATATTACTCAGCCATAAGGAACAATGACATGTGGTTTGAAGGTAAATGGATGCAATTGGAGGACATCATGTTTAGTGAAGTAAGCCAGGAATCCAGAAACAAAAAGATACATGTTTTCTCTCATACATGGAAGATAGATCCAAAGATAAACATATACACAAAAACAAGCATGATCATATACAAACTCAGATGTAGAATATGTTTGTAACAGTGGAACTACTCTGTGGAACTTGGGGGAGGAGGGAAAAGAAAAGAGAATGCTAGAGCATCAGTATTATCGCATAACATGTAAAGGTGGAGGATATAAGGATGTGTATTGAAAGCTGTTGAAAAATGGAGGGTGAGAGGGAAAGGGCAAGAAAGAGTAATGGAAGGGGATGAATGGACCAAAATAAAGTATACTCACAGTGGAGATACTTCGAGAAACCTCTTTGAACACTGACTTTGAATTGATAATGAAAGACAGAACTGTAAAATAGGTACAGTGGGGGGGATACTTGTGGGAGAGGGAAGGGTGAATAGAGAAGATGGAGGTGAGGGACTATGGTTGATGGACTTCATATACATATACTAAATAGAACCATAAACCTCTTGCGATTGCTCTAAGTGGGGCAGGGAGGGGTTTGCAGGGGTTGATGGTGGAGTGATCTAACCAATGTACAATGTGAGGCTATTCAAAATTGTCCAGTGAATTGTGAATTTTATCACAATGAAAAATTAAAACAAAACAATGACAGAGGGAGAGAGAAAGAGAGGGGGAGAGGAGAGGAAGAAAAGAGGAAAGGAGGGGAGAGGACAAGAGAAATTTAAGCAAGTTGGAAAGTTTGATGACATTAAGAAGACTGATGTCATCATTAGGTATGATAATAATATGGCCACAGTAGAAAAAGAAGATATATGATAGATAGATAGATAGATAGATAGATAGATAGATAGATAGATAGATGATAGATAGATGATCGATAGATAAATCCCCCAAAGAGATCTAAACCAGCCATCTTGGAGAAATGGCTGCATCCTATGTTCACTGTAGCATTATTCCAATAATCAAGACATGTCCAGGGATGGATGTTTGAATAAAGAAAATGTACATAAAAACATAACAAATGGAATATTACTCAACCATATAGATAAAACTGGAGGACGTGATAGTACATAGAAGGACAAATAATACATTATCTCACTTGTTTTTTGAACCTAAAGTAGTCAAAGTCATTAAAGCAGATAGTGCCACAGCAATTGCCAGCTGGTAGGCAAAAGAATAAAAGGACAGGTATTAAAATACATTTCAGTTACACAGATGAATAAACCCTGTACAGCAAGCTTCATGCCTACAGTTAACACAACTGCACTGTATATTTAAAATGTTGCTGAGAGGGAGACCTTATGTTAAGTGTCCTTACCACAACAAGAACTGAAGGAGACTTGGGGAGGTGAAAGATAGGTTTATGGCACAAATTTCAGTGCTGGTTCCACAGGTGTATACTTACTCTGAATTCCTAAAGCTATGTGCATTAGATGGACACAGCTTCTTGTGAGGTGAACGGGATTACCACTGCACTACAGAAGCTGCTTTGTGTAAAACTTTTGTATGTCAGTCTTACTTCAATAAACTGGATTCAAAAAAAAGAACAGATATATGGATCTCTTCTCAGAACAAAAGTAGCCACAGAGACACTGCCACCAGTAGCACATGAAGGTCATTAATGTTTGCCAAGTACAGCTCTGCGTCTTGTGCTGTGTGGGCTTCTCTGAAGACTGCAAAGGATGGTCTGACATGTCCCCTATCCTAAGAATTTTTTAATCTTGCTGGAGGCACAAAAGATAAGCCATCTAAACAAATGCACTGTTGTATGAATATTCTTTTTTAAAACACTGTCACGGAGACATAAATATGACCAGGAGAAGGAGATTGATACTACTCAGAATTAATCTGTGAAAACCTCTCTCAAGGGGGATATGCTGAGTATGGAAAGTTGTTATTTTCAATAGCAGGAAAAGTCAGGATAATTGGTCTCTCAGGCCATGTAGGGCCATGAGTTCTAAATCTACTGCCCCGTCCAGACACTGTTGACATATCCTTTCAAGGGGTGTTCTTCATTTGATACATTTTTATAAATAAAATAGTTAGCAGGAAAATCAACTTCTTTTGATTATAAAATAGACTCAGTATGAGATAAATATTGACTAGGATCAAACATGTTTCTTATTCAGAACTGTCATAATAAATCACCCCTGTACAATGACTATATCCTAATAAAAATGGAGAAAATGTTTCTTTTTAGGAAAACAGCATAGACTTAGTCAAACTCTGAAAACAAGGACATTCAATGGGGGAAGGTGCTGGGCAAACTGGACATCCACATGCAAAAGAATGAAGTTGAGTCCTTACCTCACACCATATACAGGCACTACCAGAAATGGAACAAAAGACCTCAATTTAACTTCTAAAATCATAAATCTCATGGAAGAAAGTACAAGTGTATATTTTTGTGATCTTGGATCAGACAGTGATTTCTTAAGTATGATACCCAAGTACAGGTAGCAAAAGAAAAAACAAGTAAGTTGGATTTAATAAAAATTTAAAACTTGTGTGCATCAAATATACTATCAAGAAAGTAGAAAAATGTATAAAATGATAGAAAATATTTCCCATCAAATGTCTGGTAAGAGCCTAGTATCTAGAACATGTAATGAACTCTTAAATCTCAATAATAATCTAACCAGATGGTACACACTTGGAGGAGACTGAGATGAGAGGGTACTGAGTTCAAGGCCAGCCTGGGCTACATAGTGAGGCCCTGTCTCAAAAAAAAAAGAAAGAAAAAGAAAGAAAGATGAAAACCCTATTCAGAGGCAAATGATTTAAATAGATATTTATGTAAAGAAGAGATACAAATGGCCTGTAAGCACATGTACAGAGGCTCAACATCACTAATAATTAAGGAAATGTCAATCAAAACCACAATGAGGTACCAATTCCCACCCACTAGGATGGCCAGAATGAAAAAGGCAGGCAGAAGCAAGTATTAACAAGGATGTAAAGAAATTGAAACCCTCAGATTTTACAGAAGTGAATTTAAAATCATGCAGGACTGGTAGCATAGCAAGTGTAAGCCCTGAGTTCAAACCCTAGTACTGCTAAAATAAATAAATAAATAAAATCATAGTTCCCCCAAAAGTAAACATAAAGTTATGATATGTGCTGTGCCACTCCTAGGTAAACACCACCAAAGAAATGATAACATATTCCTATGGACTAAATGGTAGACTCCCCTCCAGGCCTTCAGATTGTGACCTTACTGAGCATTAGGGTCACTGCAGAGGTAATTAGTTAAGATGAGGTCACACTGCAGTGTAGGGTGGGCTCCTTATCCAATATGACTTGTCCTTAAAGGAGGGAATCTGGCTACAGACACATACAGGGGAAGTGACATGTGAACTTGAAGGCAGAGATTGGGATGATGTTTTTACAGCTATGAATCCCCCAAAGACTGCCAGAAAGCACCAGAAACTAAGCCAGAGGCAAGGAAGATTCTACCCCAAGGCCCTCAGAAAGAAACAATCCTTCAACACCTTGATCTCAGACTTCTAGCTTCCAGAACCACGAAAAGCTA